AGCAACTTTTATACAACGTTTATAGATACATATTTAAAATCAAGCTTTATTATTTTGGTGAAAGCTCTTATACAACGTTTGTAGACACTTCTTGACAGCTGCTTTGAAATTTAGTAGAGAGTGAACCTGAGAGGCGTTTGTTGCACTCTTTTATGACTCCTAAATAATCATTGTACAGCAAGCGGTGAAAAGCGTTTATAGCACTTTTTAATGACTCCTTAATAACCGTTGTGTAAGTACTCACAATATTCACAGATTAAAATTAATTTAACAATTGTCGTGGTACGCCAAAACAAAAACTTGTACAGTTTTTATTAATTTAATTTATTTGAGCACATTGAAAAAATATGTAATTATGCCATAATTCACATTCTGTGATCATGGAGGAAGTAGTAACTAGCATCGGTTTTAATCTTTGATTGATATTCTTTCAATTAATCTCTCTAATAATTAGTTGAGAGAATTTATCTAGAAATGTTATCGTTGGATTATATGATATATGTCTTAAATTAATGTTTGCATTTATTAATAAACACCTATATATATAATTTACCTCTACTCCACCGAGGGTTTCTCGAAGCAAGATTCGAACTCATGATCCCGGATTGCCAGCCGCTTCTGTTTCCATCTGCTCTATTCTTGAATACATATTTTGATCATATGAGAGAAGTATATGAAGCTCATCTTGAGTGACTTCTCTTGCAGTCGAATAATCATTGCCTTATGGTCATATAAACGTGCCTATCACTTGTGCTATTTTTAGCAACAAAATTGTGGTTGGTGGTTGGTCGAACGTAAACAATCATTTAAGAGTGCTCCAAGCAGCTTTTGAAGCGTTTAACCAAAAAGGCAATACAACTACATTCTTGTTCAACTCTGGAAGCTATTATTCAACGTTTGATCAACTCAGGTGTTTTATAAGAGCTCTCAATGGTTTGTTTTGATGCGTTTATTCCACGTTCTATATGGCTCCTGTCAAACAGTTTAACCGAACGTAAACAATCATTTAAGAGTGCTCCAAGCAGCTTTTGAAGCGTTTAACCAAAAAGGCAATACAACTACATTCTTGTTCAACTCTGGAAGCTATTATTCAACGTTTGATCAACTCAGGTGTTTTATAAGAGCTCCCAATGGTTTGTTTTGATGCGTTTATTCCACGTTCTATATGGCTCCTGTCAAACAGTTTAACCGAACGTAAACAATCATTTAAGAGTGCTCCAAGCAGCTTTTGAAGCGTTTAACCAAAAAGGCAATACAACTACATTCTTGTACAACTCTGGAAGCTATTATTCAACGTTTGATCAACTCAGGTGTTTTATAAGAGCTCTCAATGGTTTGTTTTGATGCGTTTATTCCACGTTCTGTATAGCTCTTGTGAATCAGTTTAACTAAGGTGCTATAAAAGTTATCGTAGGTCTTATAAAGCATATAGTTAAACCGAACGTAAACAATCATTTAAGAGTGCTCCAACAGCTTTTAAAACTTTTAATCAAATGGCAATACAACTACATTCTTGTTCAACTCTGGAAGCTATTATTCAACGTTTGATCAACTCAGGTGTTTTATAAGAGCTCCCAATGGTTTGTTTTGATGCGTTTATTCCACGTTCTATATGGCTCCTGTCAAACAGTTTAACCGAACGTAAACAATCATTTAAGAGTGCTCCAAGCAGCTTTTGAAGCGTTTAACCAAAAAGGCAATACAACTACATTCTTGTTCAACTCTGGAAGCTATTATTCAACGTTTGATCAACTCAGGTGTTTTATAAGAGCTCCCAATGGTTTGTTTTGATGCGTTTATTCCACATCCTGTATGGCTCCTGTCAAACAGTTTAACCGAACGTAAACAATCATTTAAGAGTGCTCCAAGCAGCTTTTGAAGCGTTTAACCAAAAAGGCAATACAACTACATTCTTGTACAACTCTGGAAGCTATTATTCAACGTTTGATCAACTCAGGTGTTTTATAAGAGCTCTCAATGGTTTGTTTTGATGCGTTTATTCCACGTTCTGTATAGCTCTTGTGAATCAGTTTAACTAAGGTGCTATAAAAGTTATCGTAGGTCTTATAAAGCATATAGTTAAACCGAACGTAAACAATCATTTAAGAGTGCTCCAACAGCTTTTAAAACTTTTAATCAAATGGCAATACAACTACATTCTTGTTCAACTCTGGAAGCTATTATTCAACGTTTGATCAACTCAGGTGTTTTATAAGAGCTCTCAATTGTTTGTTGGGGAGGAAGCCGACCACCTGGCGGCATCCGGAAGACAGTCCAACTTCTACACCAGAAAGGTTCCGGCCCAGGACATAAAGCGGTGGATCACAATCACTATATGGAACTGCTGGACTAACGAATGGATGAGATCTCGAGACTTATTTACCCGGAAGGTAAAAGGGGATACCAGGAAATGGGAGGATCCACCTGAACACCGACTTCAAGTCATTCTATCTCGGTTGAGAACCGGACATACCAAAGTCTCCCACAACATGGGAGGCGGAGGCGGATTCAGACGGCAGTGCGAGACATGCAATGTTCCACTTACAGTGGAGCATTTCTTATGCGAATGCCCCCAGTACCAACGACCCCGTTCCCTTTACGGGATCTCAGGTAGCATCAGGGATACCCTGAGGGATGACCCATCCAGCATCGCTGCACTATTCTGCTTCCTTCAGGAAGCAGGTCTGATTAACCAAATTTAAACACCCAAGCAACGACAACGGACAATGATTCGGACCCAAACTATACCTCGGCAACAAATACTGACTCGGACACGGATGAACGAAGATATTGAACCAAGCAAAGCACGTACAAGGACACGGAAATGGACGAATGACGGCACTAAAATCAAACACAGCGACTACAAAGGAACAGGACACGGAACTTGACCACTTGACCACGATAATCCAAAAGGACAGTAACATCTGTAGCATTAAAGGAAAATTTCCAACTCTGAAATATTAAAACTCTGTTATTATGGAGACTCCCTTCTGGAGCTCCCACCCATCTCCTTACTCCGTATCCTCGGGGTTCTCCTCTGGAACCTCACATCCCCTTCCTATTAGCTCTGTAATTAGGGGGACTCCCGTCTGAAGTCCCCACCCCTCGTCTTTAAGAGATGAACCAGCCCAAGGCTGAAAATCTCTCTAATAAAGCAAAAAAAAAAAAAAAAAAAAAGACAATCGATTGTTCCAATTTTGACATGTCACCTCTTTATAAATTTAGGCTCTTTAGGTCTAGTATAAGAGAGGAGCGGATTCAAAACAAACTGCCTTGGCAACCTATGCCTAGGTGAATTCTATAGCAAAACTGCCAATGCAGTAAAGATCACTAGACCCTCTCTACTGCTACACTCCATGTAAAATTCCACATGGTTTTCAAGTACACATAAACAGAGTCCACTCAGAAGTACACATGAAATTTATGAGTCAAATGAATAGTATGTGTGTTTAAACATGAATTTTATGTGTACACAGTGTCCGACAGGTCCGACACATATATATCATTTGTTTATCACATTGCAAAAATGCATGTGTGGGACACATAAAAATAATCATTAAATTTTTATTAGTGTAGCTCACTCATAAAAACTAACAACACTAGCTAGTAGTATAGTCGCTATATTCATAGTCTGGCGGATAGAATTTCTACCTATAAAAAAACGGAACCAATTGGGTTCTTTAATTTTGAAAAATATATCGGTTTTTATATATCATCTGAGCACAGCGATATTTTTTTCGAACCCACACACTTTTATCTCGATTTTTAAATCAATATTTAAAGCAAAATAATAACATCACTGTTTGACACTAAACTGACAAACTGACAGCTCGCACCCATACAAAGTGACAACGAGCTAATAAGTTGATTTTTGCAAATGTAATCATTCTTATTTAAAATAGTTAATGCAGATTACGAATATGCATTTACCTCAATACCCTTAAAGAACCCTATTCAATATATTGTAGGCCAACAATTGAAAAGGTACTTCCAACTTTTATAAACAAAACTTTGATTATTCTTTCCTCGCCAATCGAACGCAAATTACCAGCATCATCGGATAGGGGAAACTTTCCCCAACCCAAAGATGGTGTTAGTTTGCGTAGGGGAGCCTTGAGTCACGAGAAAAGGGTTTCCGAAGTTTTGTTCACAATAGCTGATGTGCTCTTTTCTGTTGTTGGTCGTGATTTGCTCGATTGGTTCCGCTATTTGACAGCTCAATTGATTCCCAAGATTCTATCCGCCAGATTGGCTAGTAGGGGAAAGATTCCCCTACCTGATGATGGTGTTTGTATGCATGGGTGAGTTAGCAGTTAAGACAAATCGTCGATTGAAGTGATTGTTTACAAAAGCAGATACGTCGATTTGAATAGTTACGCTTGTATTGTTCAAGTTAACATGCTTTTGAATTTAATTCAATCATAAATATTTTTGTTTTAAACATGCTTTCAATTTACTTTGAATAATTCATCTGGTTAGAGAATGAACATTTGTATTTTTGATTTAAATGAACAAAATTAGTATCCGTGTTAAATGCGTGAACGGTGATCCAGATTGAAGAGTTACGTCTGTTTGTCTGTGATTAAATATTAATGTTATGTTATGAATTTCTAAACTGTTTGAATTCGTATCTTTGAGTTTGTCGCCCTTGGCGACGGCCATTGGTATTCTGGGAGTTCAGTAAATTTCTAGAGTTGGCGGTGTTTCCAATAAAAGTTTGAAAAGTTCTTACACGGCCAACTCCAACAACTCAGCAACTGAATTCAATTGACTCAGAGCATTTTCTTTCCATTGGAAAAAAACTGCAGTTGTTGGTTGTTGGCCGTGTAGATTTTTTGAGCTTTGATTTGAAACTTACCAAAGTTAGAGTCGGTGTATAATCATTTTTTTTTTATAATTATACACCGACTCTAACCAAAGTAACCCATCAGTGCTCTCAAGAATCGGAAATTTCTTTTATCGCAAAATCAACACGTCCCTTTATCTTGGTAATGATATAGTATATTTTCCGTTAATATGCTCCCATTTAATACATTTCGTCCTAGTTGATAAATGCACACACCTAACACTAAATTGCCACTAAATACGATAAACCAACAATCACAGAAGTTGAATAAATATAGTGAAAATGTAAAAGGTACTGTTTCTAATGATACCTTGATTCCTTAACAATTAGTGATGACAAATAACACAAGTGTAGTAACTATGATAACTGTTCCCCACGATTACTGCCCTTAACATTTGATTCGTAATCCTGCTTCCAGCCCTTACCCACTCAGAGCATCTAGAATTAGTCAACGATTAACGCGCGCATTTATTCAAACACCAATGCAATTGACGTAAACGGCAGCACCGGACAGGACGGTTCAAGCTGCAGGGCGGTGGCCATACAATCGGCAGAAGCCGTGTAGTCACCCAGGCTTTCCATCACGCGACCCAGCAGGAACCTGTCGAAGAGAATATTCGTTAGACGCGCCGCAACCTAAAGCTTGCTAGATCTTACCAAATCTTCGGACAGTTGGGATCGATCCGAGCGGCATCCTTCAGGGTCTTCTCCGCCAGTCGTGGCTCTCCGAGCGTTAGGTGAGCTTCACCCAGAGCTCGCAAAGCATCCGTGTGGTACGGATTAGCCGAGACGGCATTCAGGAAGCACTGCTTCGCATCAGCCCACTGCTGCTGGTAGATGTGGATCAAACCACGCTGTGATGGATACAATACGACTGCGGTCAATAGTCTAGATTTCGATCGTGTAAACTCTTGAACCTACCATGTACATGACCTGATGGGACACGGGATTGATCAGACTCGCCTCCTGGATGCAGTTGATCGCTTCGTTGGGCTGCTCGATGGCCAGATAGACGTCAGCCAGCAGCAGCCAGATTTTGAACTGCATCATCCACGCCTTCTGCGGTCCGGGACGGGGATTGAACGAACTCAGCGAACTGGCGGCTTCACTGAGGGCGTGCTCAATGCGGGAAGCAGCCAGCGAAGCGGCGTGGATCGAATCTGAAATGGGTTATACGAGAGGAACTATTCAGAGGGAGATATGTGCAAAATAAAAGCTTCTGGTGGGTTATCTTTAACATTCCAGTCCCAGCCGGAAATAAACAGGACAAAACTACTTACTGGAGTCCTTGTCGGACATCTGCGAGGTTTGCATCTGCAGGACACTTCTCGTGTCGGAGTATTTCTCGTTCTCGTGTTCCGTTCCACTGCCGGCATTGGCGAGCTGCACTTCGTACACCTCCCGCCAGATGGACAGCATCTGCTGAACCGTTTCCAGGGCCGTATCGACGTCCTTCAGGTACAGTTCCAAGTGGGCTTTTACGTGCAGTAGGTTGAGATTGTCCGGGAATTCTTCGGTGGCATCCTGAACGACGGCCAGAGCTTCCTTCGGACGACGATTGGCCGTTAGCAGAAGGCCGAATAGATGTAAACTGGAAGCGTGCTCTGCTCGAAGCGACAGGGCGTTGGTGGTATGGAGAAGCGCCTCCGTGATGTTGTAGTTCAAAGCATGCTGGCAAGCAAGGTAGTACTCCGACAGGTGATCGTGTGGATCCTGAAGAACGGCTCTATCCAGGGCTTCAAACGCCAGCTTATTGTAGCGATCCTTTTCTGAAACGAGCGTTGCAGACACTGCGACCTGCTGCAGACCTATGCCAACGTACAACTGAGCTCGAGATCGTTTCAATCCTTTCATTTCTTTGCTCAAAGCTTGCTCGGCAAAGGCCAAACCTTCCTTAATCTGATCCAGATGTTCGTAGCACAATCTAGCTGCCATCAAACAGCTCAAGCTGTCATGGGGCTCTAGTTTTGAATGCTCTTTCAGTGCACAAACCGCGTGCTTGTACCTTCCCATGGAAATCAGACACACAGCGTACTGCTTCCAAACGTGACTCTCCCCGAAAGCGAACTTCAACGCCTTCTCCAGGGAATCGTGCAGCAGTCCCACCTGGTTCCAACGCACTGTCGCCAAGGTCATCAGATCGTACACGGCAGTGACATTCCCCAGCGAATGAATCCTCGCTTCCTTGAACTCCGGACTCTGCGAAAGCACGGCATCCCTCACTGCCAGAGCTTCCGCAATCAACAGCAGCAGAATGGTTTCCTCGTGTTGATTCCTTGGAATGAACTGCTGTCTGGAAGCATACTTCTTCGGTTCCCAAAAACTCTTGCCCTTGGCAGCATTCTTTGCCGCCGTCAGGCTCGTCGGTGGTGTATAAATCGTACCGGAAACACCCCTCAGCAGCACTTCTGCCAGCTGTCTCGCCAGCGTTTGCCTAAACGTTTGGGTTGCCTTCGTCTCTACGGCATTCAACATCACCCTGTACCGATCGATGGCGTTCTGCAGCTTCCCTGTCTTGATCAGCACGATCGGTGCCCGTTGCAGTCCAGTCTCGAGAACCGCGCCCATCCGGCGAACCTCAACCTGATTAGTCCCATCCATTTGCTGCTGATGCTGTTGTCCTTGAAGATACAGAATGCCCAAATCAGCCGCACGCTCAAAGCACGTTATCATCTCCGAATCCTGCTCGGCTTGCTTGAACTTCGACGGTGCCTTCGAGCTTTTCTTTTCCAGACACATCCCCTTAATCGCGTACGACTCCGCCAGAATTCTAATACTCCGCCTAAAAAAACAAATCCAACATCAACTTCCCCCCATACAAACCGATTCCAAAATCTACTCACGGCGACAGATGCTTCTCCGAGAGGGTATTCAACTCGGCCAGCACAAAACTCTGCAACGACTCATCGTACTGTCCACAGGCGAAGAACAGCTTTGCCAACAGCAGGTGCGCGTCCAAAGCAATCCCCGCCTTCTTGCCGCTTTCTCCAATCACCGAATTCAGATACCGTTTGGCATCCGTCAGCCCCAGTCTGGCCTTCAAAACATAATCCTCAATCGGTGGATACTCCTCCAGGTAGCTTTCCAGCTTGCCCTCTCCCATCAGGAAGTTGGCCAAACTCTCTGCGACAAAAACAAACAATCATAAGCGACACCAAATGAATTATTGACCTCCTCCATCCATCCGTGACTCACCGACTTGCGGATAGCCCGACTTGAGTTCGTCGGCCAGCTCGATCACCCTCTGCCATTTACCTTCGCCGCGACACTGCTCTATAGTGGTCTCCAGCTTCGTCACCTGGTTACGATTCCGTCCGGTCATCGTGGCGGGCAGCACGCGGATGCACTTTTGTCAGCAAAATAAGCTTACGATTGAGTGGAAATTTAATTTTTCACTTCACTGCGAATTTGCGCTATTACAAAACACCCTCTGGCTCGATTATGTGGGACTTGCGAGTGTTGGCTGTTTTGCTTTTGCGTTCTCGATTTATCGGTCCCTCTGTTTTGCTTTCAATCTTCGTGACCTTCATCATTAGAAGGCTTGTCAGTCGAAATGATGGTGTTGGAGATTATTTGGCCTTTTTGTGGTACTTTTCTACACGCTTAGATAAGATTACCTAAAATTAGGTTTTAATTTTACCTAAAATTAGGTATTGATACTAAAACCAACAATCAATACGAAACTAACGATTTTAAATTGGCTCACTACTTGTTCGGCACGGATGGCAGAGGAGTTAAAACAAACTGTCCCGAGCTTTATTTAATCACGCGAAGGTTTACTTACCACGCCGAACGGTTTGGATGGTACGCCATTGAGAAATCCAACTTAAACTCCTGCGCGCCTGGTGGCAGGAATAAGCACTAACCGACGGTGATAAGTCTGTGACAGCCCTTGACAATTTCATTGATTGTTTGCAAAATTGTTTAATTTCAATGTAATTTCATGCAAATTTCTTGTCAGCATGGATGAACCTTGTACAAAATGCATAAAATTATTTTGTAATGCATTGTTCCTTAATAAAAAGCTACTTGAAGACAGTTAAATTACAGAAAACATGTTAAGGTTTGAAATCATCTGCCGATTAAACAACAGACAAAGTTGACCGACTAAATCAATCAACTAAAAACTATTAAATAGGCCGATTGCTCGGTGTAGCACCAGACGAAAAACGATTTAATCTGCTGATTAATACACCGACTGAAATTAATTTTTAAGTGGCAATAGATTTCTCGAGATTTAGTCGGTGGACGAATCGGGTGATCTGGATGATGTTTGTTTATTTGGAAGATATTTTCGAAACAAAGCACGATAAAATTCAGAATTATATACCATTATTACGAGTACTACTTTTTTGCTCGGATCATGTTTTGACTCCCACTGAAACTCGCTAGAATAAATACAAAATAATAGTTTTTTGGTTGAAATTTCAAAAATGTATTCAGTTTGACACATTATTTCAGACTTATCACCGCTGCGATTGCAGCGCCACGGTGGCCGATTGAAACTTGGATTTGTCAATTGCCCTGCGGGGACTGCTGGTGCGAGTGCCTTTTTTCTCGATTCTATCAAAAAACTGTTCAAGACGACAGCTACTCTACTAAATTAAGAGACTGTTACAATAGCGTGGTTCAGAATTTGATAGAAAGAAAAGGAGTGCCTTTAGCATCAGGTGTTTGGACTTTGATTGTAGACTGAGGACTGAACTTCTCACTAAATCTCGATGAACATTTCAAATGGTCCTATCTGCTTTGATCGATTCTCTTCATCGACTTTCTCTTTTCATAACCACTGCCATGCAAACAGATTTTGCGCTAATTCTACCACATAGTTTGATAAAGGAGGTTCTTATGTAGCGTACAAAACGTCAAATACAACAGAGAAAGGTTTTGCAGCTTAGTTATTAACGAAAGAGAAAATCGATGAAGAGAATCGATCAAAGCAGATAGGACTATTTGAAATGTTCATCGAGAAATAAGAGATTCTGGTCTCATCAGTAATCTTAGTTTAAAACGAGGGGGGCGACACATCTAAATCTCAAGTTTAGATGGTCAACAAATCTCACACTAGCGAATCAATCTTCGAACAATCTTCTTTCATTTGTCGCATCTACTTGCATCGCTCATCAATTTTTTGCAGGAAATCTTCAGAATCATCATCAATCTTCTTTCTATCTACTCAGCGTGCGCGCAGCTAGCCACGGCAAAACATAATCTTTTTTGCATCGTAGATAGAGTTGTCCCCCTCGGTTTAAAACCTGATGAAGGTACTGGCTGGAAGGAATTCGGATCTTAACAGATCGACAGACGTTTTAAGACTAACGAAAACATTTGATTTATTAAGTAGAAAATTTGCCTTATATATAGGGGTTTGAGCCTAGAAAGATTTGTCTCCTGCTAAGATCTTCCTAACGTAATGTTGATTAGAACGAAAGAGACAGAAAGTATTCCTTATCTAAACTTATCCATCGTTCTCTTTCAAGATCATGTGAGGCATTTTGGGACCAACGCAATCCTTCCAGAATAATCTCGTATGTATGCATACGTCTAGGATGCACTTGACTCCTACGCAGCGCTTATACCTAAGCCAAACTGGTGCAAGCGTATAGTTTCCCTATGCTGAGTTTTATTGCTTTGTGTTATGCTGCGTGCACCCGTTGGGTAAATCCTATGGTGCAAACGAGAGCGTACCGCTTATGCGTTCTCTTGTTACATAACATTGACCTAGAACTTTGTGTCATTTTCCATGCTCTCGTATTCATTGAACCTGGCTAAGCAGAAGGGATGATAAACAGAACAGCTGTTTATATTTGACTTTGAATTTTTACTTCTTTGCATCGTCTTGGGTGATTCGAGAACGTTCTTCAATTATGCACAACACTACTTGACTAGCCTATTGGTCCCAAGCAAACCGATTAACGTATCCCATTCTAGTATAGATTCCAGCACTACATTATGTTTGTTTTGATTCGCTATGAAAGTTTGACAGTCAATTGCATTTGCAAATCGAAAAGTCTCTTGCAGAAAGCCATCGCCACAATCATTTCAGAAAATAGTAAAAACTTCAATGAACTGGTATAAATCAAGGTCATTCCCGTAATTTAAATATTGCATCCATTTAATTCCTTCTTTCATTGTTTTCGTTTCGTCATTTAAATGGTCAGATTTCAAAACTATACGCCCTACAAAATCTAGATTTGGCCCAAATTAGATCAGATTCCAGAGCAAACCAGAGTTAGCTCTATGGTTACACCCTACAGGTAACTCTAAGACTAGTAGGTCCCGAAGAAACGTGCTCATCTTTTTTGGCTCAGCTCTGGTACTATATTCAGTCCCAAGCTAATCAATGCACCCCTCGAAACATAGGAAAATCCATGAACCCCTCATTTTTTTCGATGTGTTTATTTTTCCAGGCTCATTTGCCATAGCTTTGCGGAGCCTATTTTCATCGTTTGGGTTACAAAATTACTTAAAACTAACGTTAGTAAAGCGGGGGCCGATTACTCACGGCTATCTCGAGGTTAGGGGTAAAAAATTGTAACAAACGGATGGCAGGGTAGGGATTGAGAACACAAGGTTTTTTCAAGCAATGTGCTCTTGATCTAGAACTAAGCGACATACTGGAGAAAAAGACGAACATGGCTGTACACCGATGGAAACCTAGCAACTTTAGAAAACACAAGATGACATTAACTACTAAATCCTCAGATCGATCCGTTTTGAAAACTCATAAATTAAATTGCAATAGTCGAGATCTCGGTTCACCAAGATGTCTCTAACGGGCCGCATAGGTTGTTTTCCTCGGGCCCTGAGGGATGTGGATAACTCGGATTCTTGTGCTCCAGAAATTGATTGAATAAGTTCAACCAGCGTTTCTTCGCGACGTCCGGGAGTTTTTTAAGCAAGTTGAACTTGATTCTATCCATTCCTGGTGCTGAGTTGTTACATGAGAGGAGAGCAAGTGAAAATTCCACCATCGAAAACGGGGAATCTATTTCGTTACTACCCGCCGGACGATCACGAACGTTGGTTTGAACTGACACCTAATCTGGACAAACTTTCCGCGCGAGGCTGAATATCCAACTGTCTGAGTACTCCTTGTCTTCGTTAACCAGTGATGACGCGGTTCGCATTCTCCTGCCGACATTCCAGACGTTTTCTCAAGGTCAATGTACCACTCGAAATCCTCGACTTTACCGTGTTTGCGGAAGCGTTTAAACGCGGCGGACTTCTCGCTGTTCGCGTCGATGCAATCCTTATCCCACCACGGGGTGGGAGGTCGCTTGCGAATGGAAACACCCGGAACACGTTTCGTCTGTGCTTGCACCGCACAATCGCTGATTAGACGCGCGAGAAAGGAGTACTCATCCACTGGAGGAAGTGTACACGATGTCAACCGAGCGAGTGGAAGATGAACCATTGGTAATAGAAATTTTGATTGGCAAGTTGTCACTACCGTAGGGATCTTGGATTACTTTCCACGAGCAACCCAACGATAGTGAACTCGAACAGAGGAAGAGGTCTAATCTACTTTCTCTTGCTGGAGGTTTGGCTACTCGTGTTACTTCCCCAGTGTTTAGAATTGTCGTATTGAAGCTATCGCAAAGGTCGTATATCAGCGTTGAGCGGTTGTAATCGTACAGTTCCCCCCAGCCTATACCGTGGGAGTTAAAATCTCCTAATATCAACCGAGGCTCAGGTTAAACTGAGCAGATATCTGAGAAACCTTGGCGAGAAAACGCAGTTCTCGGAGGAAGATATACTGAGGCAATAATGAGGCTTTCACCTCGAACATTTACCTGACATGCGACTACTCCAATGCCTGTCCTGGAACGTAGATCGATTCTATAAAAGGAATGGAATTTTATGATCCCGAGAAGCACCCCTCCATACAAATCTCGATCTACATCGATCAAGGCGAATAATGTTAAAATCGTGGAAAGGGAGAGTTGTGTCTGAAGAGAGCCATGTTTCACAAAGAGCAAATGCATCACAAAGTGAGGGAGTGAACTAAAAATTTGAATGCGTCAAGTTTTGGTATAAGACTTCTACAGTTCCACTGCAGGATTGAGATCATATCTCCGACCTCATTTGGAGAATTATCTATCAAAGGATATGATCGATGCAAGGAAGGACCACCTGGAAGCTAGTTGCTTCAAAAGTGTTTTCACAATTGGAAGCACTAAATTAATAATGTTCCTCGTTGAGTAAGAGACGTTGAATATATAGAAGATGCTCTCCACAATTCCAGAAAACGTGAACATGGGAGCATGTTCTTGTTGATTTTTCAGCTGTTCTTCTGGTTGAAAAAATGCGATATCTGGGGTTTTAGATGATCCCGGAACTGGCGGAAAGTCCTTGTTAAAATTACAGGGCTTAAATCCCGGTGGTGGGGGTTTTGGCACATTTCCGCTACCTCTTAAATTTGTCAAGGTTGGTTGATAGTCCATACGAGAGGCACACTCGAACTTTGAAATAAAACATTGTTTTGATATTTTTTCTTCTAGAACCACGAGAAAAGTAGCCAACATTTGTGCGTTTCATAAAAACAATTGAAATTAGTTGGTCCAGTTTTGTGAAATCGCTAAAACTGCTTGACAAAGTGGTCAATTGTTCACAAACGACAGTGCAATGCAAAACACGTCTGTTACCTCTATATTTGCATTTAGATTAACATCCGAAGTCTCTCCTTTTTTACACATTCTGCACACAAAATAGCACAGAATTTCCCTCCGATTTTTATGAATGGGGTGGGGCAGAAAGTATCTTTTGTGCAAAATATGTAAAAAATGAGAGACTTCAGATGTTAATCAAAATGCATATATAGAGGTACCAGACATGTTTTGCAGTGTCAGGAACTCTATTTTGTAGTCTGTGATAGGGAAATCACAAATAGAATGTCATCAAAATACATGGCATGTTGAGAGATTGAACTAGTGAGAGCAAATTTTCTCTCTCAAATTTGTAGTTTTTGGCTCTCTGGGGACTGGTAGTAAAGCAGACAATACTGTATGGGAAAAAATCATGTTTATTTAATCGTAGCTTGTTTAACACTAATTTCCGGGAAAAACTGAACGACAAAGTCCCTGACTGATTTCTTTAGGTTGTCGTTCACTTTTTTACCTGAATATGAACCGAAAACGAATTATTCCCACTTCTCTTAATTTCTATATGGGGATTTTTATCACTTCCTACCAGCGGAACAGCACCATCTCTGTGGAAAATGGCCGGACGATATGCACTTAAAAGGTTTTCAAATTTAAATAGATAAAAGTTACACTAAATTGCAACTCTCCTGAACGACGCATAGCTTGGTATAAAGAGAGAATATAAACACTTAGCATAAAAATGGTTTATACGAGAATGTGTATACTTGAACTTTATACATGCCATGTTTAAAGAAGATTTATTGAATGAACTGCTAGCAGCGATGTTTTTGTTACAATTTGGGTTAAGTATAGAATTTATTTGCAGTGAAAATTATTTTGTCATTTTTATTATTCAGAGTGCATCTACAAATAAATAGCATTCGTTTTGTTCTTTAGTTGGAGCGTTGGCTGAGAACTTGACTAGTAAAAATACGCATGATGTGCCTTATCAAGTTGATCCGATTTCAGGAACTGTAGACGACTAGGTTCATGTACGGTGCTGGACCGTACGATCAACGAAGACATTGGAGAAAGTGCACATCATTCGGTTGTGCAATCTTGTTCCCATCATTGGGCGTACTTCCCGGAGCGCTGGAAAGTTGGTCAATTCGATATATTGCATTTTAGGAAGCTTTTTTTTTCGTGATGATCTAAAAGGATGAGAACAAAATTTAATTACAATCCATTTAAAACTGAACTAAAATACAAACAGACAAATACCTTTTCTATTCTGGTGGTCATTCTACTAAGTCCAATATAGATCGCCAAGTTAGAAATAAAAATTCTAAAATCAATGCACTTTTTTTAATAAATAATGTATAATATACTTACTGAAAGTTTTATTTTCGTCAATTAAATGCAGATAAATAAGTGAAACTTTTTGGATCAAGGCGAAAGTCAACAGTGTGGCATTTTGCTGACTTGATAAGCACGAATATGAATTTTGACACGTTATTCGTTGTCATGTATAAATAAAGAAATTTTTTATTCTCTATTATTAATAAGTATACACAGCTAAATCAAATAAAGCTTAAATTTTATACTATTTTAGATTAGTAATATATTTGAGTGTGATTAATTGAGATCGCTGGCCTGTTTAAAAACGACCAGTTAATTTGCGTGACCACCAGCTTCGACCAAATGGCCGAAACCCACTTCTCGCGCACAAAACAAAGGGAGAACGAAAACAAAATCAAATTCTGACAGTCAAATTTCACCACGTTGCCCGTTTTGCTGTTCATTCGAAAGTTCTGGGGTAATTTTTTGATACAAATTTGCCATTTTCCGCTCGAAATACGTATAAAATTGCTACATTTCGTCCTATTCCAGTTGCTCCTGGATGTTCTACGCCCGTTGCGGACGAGCAATCAGTGTAGTTTTGAACGAATCCTTCCTGAGTCGCCGTTTGCCTGTAAGAATGAGTGCCCTCGAGCGGGTCATGTCCAGCAACACAGCCGCCGAAGAGCTGCTGGAATCGCTGAAGCAGGAGTTCAACGCCCTGAAAAACGAAAAGGCCAGCCGTCTTGTCGAGAAACTGAAGGTTGAGAACGATGTCCTGCGGCAGCAAGTGGAAGCTGCCCTTCAGAAGCTGATTGAGCTGGAGACGCAGAATGGGAAAAAACAGATCCCGATGCCTGGAGACAAGGCACAGAAGGAAAAGCCCGCTGGGGAAGGAAAGGGTGTAGCGCCAGCAGCAGTTCAAGAGCAAGGGGAAGCTGCCCTTCAGAAGCCGAATGAACTGGAGATGCAAAATGGTAAAAAACAGATCCAGATGCCTGGAGACAAGCCACAGAAGGAGAAGAAACCCAAGAAGGAAAAGCCCGCTGGGGAAGGAAAGGGTGTAGCGCCAGCAGCAGTCCAAGAGGCTCCAATCGACGTCGGTCGTTTAGATATGCGAGTGGGAAAGATAGTGGAGGTCTCACGCCACCCGGATGCGGACGCGTTGTATTTGGAGAAGATCGATGTGGGTGAGGCGAATCCACGAACGATCATTTCCGGTCTGGTGAAGTTTGTCCCGATCGAAGAAATGCAGAACCGAATGGTGGTGGTTCTGTGCAATCTGAAACCGGCTAAGATGCGAGGAATCCTGTCGGAAGGAATGGTAATGTGTGCTTCCACGCCGGACAAAGTCGAAGTGCTGGCACCGCCGATTGGATCTGTTCCGGGAGACTTGGTTCATGTCGAGGGTTATCCTCGGGAAGCGGATGCTCTTATGAACCCGAAGAAGAAGATCTTTGAAACCGTAGCACCCGATTTGCACACCAACGAACAGTTGATTGCATGCTACAAGGAAGGGGAGTTCTTTGTTCCGGGCAAGGGACGAGTCTTGTCGCAGACGTTGAAGAATGTTCAGGTGAAATAAGGGGGTGATTAATTGATTTGCGTTTCGGTTCATTTTCGTAGTTGCAAATATAAGCATAAGGCGTTTTGAAATATAGCAAGCAGACTGCATTTCTCGATACCGAAAATTATCATTATTTAGGAAAGAAGGGAACAGACAGTACTTACTCGCTAACTGGGCTGCTTTTAAACCTTTGCCTGCCTACACTGAAACAAATACTATAGCTAGGAATACTATTTTGGAGAACACACTTATTATCAATATAAGCACGCTTATTACTGTTAAATCTACTATGAATGTTAACAGATTTACTATGATTACTATGCTTGCTCAAAATGCATAGTAATTTTGATAGAAATACTAGTAAAATGAAATTGTTTTGACGTTGGATAACGTCTTTCGGCAACATACGGGGGTATTATCAAGTATCATCAAGTATTATCAGCATTATCAAGAAAGAGTTTAACGATTAATTTTCTAATGCCTTTCCGACACTTGAATATCGAAAGTTGAATCTTCGCAGAGCCATATTTTATCTCGAAAAATAATTTTTAAATTCTTAACAATGGATGATGCTACGAGAATCTTGAAAACATAATAAAATTTACTTAGAAAGTACCATAAAATATTCATATATCTACTAATGCATTATTAGCAATTTTAAATAAATATTTAAATTTAAAAAAATTGTATATATATATGTTATTTTTTAGTGGATTGGGCAAAGACCTTTTCACTTTGATGCTACATGAAAATAAAGTGAAATTTATTTCCAAATCATATACCGGCCCCGCTGTGTTAGTTTTCAAAATCTCGAAAACAAACCCCCGTACACGTTCTACTTCGTTACTTAATCTGGACTAGAACGGAACGAGCGAATTAAAATTTTAAAAGTTCACTACAACTCTCTTGAATTATTGTGGTGGCGGTTTTTGTTAAGATTTCGACGGGGTAATTAAGCGCGTTCTCCACGAATACGACGAGCCAGCTGGATGTCCTTCGACATGATAGTGACACGCTTGGCGTGGATGGCACACAGATTGGTATCATCGAACAGACCGACCAGATAGGCCTCGCTAGCTTCCTGCAGAGCCATAACAGGCGGTTTTGGTTGATTCTTTTGTATTTCGACTGGAATATCACTGGAAACGCACTACTAACCCCAACACAACAAAATGATTGTCGGTACTGGATTAGTAGTGGTAGATCTCATACCAGTAACAACCAACTTAGGTTAAATCTAACAACCTTAACTGAAAAAATCAACATTTGATCACATCCCTACCACCTTTCAAATCCCGACAAGAAAGTTAATTAAAAACACCTATTTAATTCATTTGGTGGCCCTGAAAAGGGCCGGTTTTTTTGTCTGAGTCGATGATGCTAATTTATCCTCCGAAACCGTACAGAGTGCGTCCCTGTCGCTTCAGAGCTTAAACGACATCCATTGCGGTGACCGTCTTCCTCTTAGCGTGTTCGGTGTAAGTAACAGCATCACGGATAACGTTCTCCAAAAACGCCTTCAACACGCCTCTAGTTTCCTCGTAAATAAGCCCAGAAATTCGCTTGACTCCACCTCGACGGATAGCAGGTTTAGTAATACCAACAATCAATACGAAACTAACGATTTTAAATTGGCTCACCACTTTAGTAGCCTATTGGTCCCAAGCAAACGATTAACGTACCCTATTCTAGTTGAAATTCTATTACTACACTATGTTTGTTTTGATTCGCTATGAAAGTTTGACAGATAACATCAGGGATGTGTGGATTCATGCAGAACATGCAGGGGTGAGTGAAATAGCTTGGGACTGCTTGGGACCGTTGTTCTGGTACTGAGTGAGCCAAAAATAATAGGGATTTTCTTCGGGACCCAGTGGTCTTAGAGTTACCTCTATGGTAATACCATAGGTAACTCTAAGACTAGAAGGTACCGAAATAACGTGCTCAACTTTTTGACTCAGCTCTGGTACTCTCTTCGGTCCCAAGCTAATCGATTCACCCCTCGAAACATAGGAAAAACCACTAACCCCTCATTTTATCTGTCAAACTTTCATAGCGAATCAAAACAAACATTTCGTAGTACTAGAATTTCGACTAGAATGGGATACGTTAATCGTTTGCTTGGGACCAATAGGCTAGTCAAGTAGTGAGCCAATTTAAAATCGTTAGTTTCGTATTGATTGTTGGTAATACCATAGAGGTAACTCTAAGACTAGTAGGTCCCGAAGAAAATCATTATTATTTTTGGCTCACTCAGTACCAGAACAACGGTCCCAAGCAGTCCCAAGCTATTTCACTCACCCCTGCATGTTCTGCATGAATCCACACACCCCTGATGTTATCTGTCAAACTTTCATAGCGAATCAAAACAAACATAGTGTAGTAATAGAATTTCAACTAGAATAGGGTACGTTAATCGTTTGCTTGGGACCAATAGGCTACTAAAGTGGTGAGCCAATTTAAAATCGTTAGTTTCGTATTGATTGTTGGTAATACCCTGAATGTTGTCACGCAGCACTTTTCGATGACACTTTGCTCCTCCTTTGCCGAGTCCTTTTCCTCCATTGCCGCGTCCAGTAATTGTTGGAGATGGTTAGTGTATCGTTGATGAAGGTTGAGACGAAAGTGAAAAAAATTTTTTTTTTTTTTTTTTTTAGTTTAAATGATCTTTATTTTAGTTTAACTTGGGCGATTACCATATAAATTTTTACTAAGTGATTTAATTGCTTTCTTCATCTTTAGGTATGGGCAAAATTCAAAATTTGTTTTACAGAATTAGTCCTAGACTTAGTACACGGTCGACCACCTTGGTGGGATTGGTTTGTTTTGTTTTTAGAATTTGAAGAGAAACTACTTAATACTACTATTGACAGCTTAAAACTAACCTACTCTACTATATACACTTAACCTACTATGTACAAATTGCTTATTAAAGCATGTTCAGAAAGATTGCATTTTTGAATAAATTTGGTTGTCATATCATCAATTTTGGAATCTACTTTGGGAATTTCTGCCTCTTGATGGAGGTCTGCTATTCTTGTGTCGAATGGACGATCTAGGATCATCCTCAACACTCTATTCTGTGCAACCTGGATTTTGTTCCTGTGGGTCTGAGCGCACGATTCCCACACCGGGGCGGCATAGAAGATCGCGGGGGCTACGATTTGTTTGTAAACAGCCAGTTTGTTTTGCCTTGAGAGGCGGGATCTGCTGCAAATGAGCGGATACAAACACCTAACCAAGGCGGAGCACTTAACTAGGGTTTTCTCTATGTGCGAGCGGAACAGGAGCTTCTCATCGAACAACATCCCGAGATAAGTAACATCAGTGGACCACTCGACCCTTGTACCATCCATTATTACGGTACAGGAGGGAGACGGTTTAAGTTTTGGCGATTGTCTGTGAAGGAACATGATTGCTTGAGTTTTCGAGGCGTTGATTTTGATTTTCCACGTGGTGGCATAATCAGTAAAGGTGTCAAGGCATCGTTGGAGCTTGTTCGTAATTTCACGAGGCATCCTACCCTTGACGGCTATCGCGGTGTCATCTGCAAACAGAAAGAACACGCAACCGTCTCCTAGAGGAGGGATGTCCGACGTGTAGATGCTGTAAAGCAGTGGTCCCAGCAGACTCCCTTGCGGAACACCTGCTGGGATCGGAAATTGTCCCGAAAGGGAACTATTCAACGACACCCTGAACGACCTTTGCTGGAGATAGTTACGGGTGATTTTCACAAGGTATGGTGGAAAGTTGGAGTTACAAAGCTTGTATATAAGTCCGTCGTGCCAGACATTGTCAAACGCCTTTTCGACGTCTAACAAGGCCATGGCTGTGGACTTGGATACAGCTTTGTTACTCCGGATGTTATTCATCACCCGCACTAGCTGATGATTGGTGGAATGCCCCTTACGGAACCCGAACTGTTCCGGAAGAAGAATGTCATGTTCCTCCACAAACTTGTTTAGTCGGCTGAGGATCAATTTTTCGAACAGCTTGCTCAGCGCTGAGAGCAGGCTAATCGGTCTGTAGCTTGACGGTAGTGAAGGGTCTTTCCCAGGTTTGCGGATCGGGATGATTTTTGCCACCTTCCAGATGCTTGGAAAGTAGTGCAGCTCCAAGCATCTGTTGAAGGTGGCAGCTAGCAGCGAGTGCACCCTCGGGCTGAGATTTTTCAACGCTAGGTTGAATATTCCGTCAAACCCGGGAGCCTTCATGTTCTTACTGTATTTCAGCGCTGAGCAAATTTGTTCCTCTGTAATCCGTTCTTCTGGAGGGACGGCACAAGGGGAGGCATCTAACGTCAGGACGCACTGCGCAACCTGGTTCTCGAGTGGACTTGGGATTTTAGAGCCAAGCAAATGCGACTGGGCAATGTGCTCCCCAATCGCATTGGCCTTCTCTTCGTTGGTGATAAGCCGTTCGTCATTGACTCTAAGTGGTGGAATGGGCTTGGGGTGAGACTTCAGCACCTTGGCAACCTTCCAGAATGGTCTGGAACGGTCGTCCAGGTTCTGAACGAGCCGCCCGAAACTCTCGTTCCGGATTGAGACCATTCTGGAAGCGATCTGCCGATTCAGATCGACCATTTCGTATTTACGCTGCAGATCCCCAGTCCGCTGAAACTGGCGTCTACGAACATTTCTGAGCCGAATCAAGAGTTTGGTGTGGGAATCAATTGCTTGAAACTTACCCCTCACAGGAACTCGTCGAACGCACTCTTCGTCAGCCACGGATATGGCTTGATGGAGACCCTCCAGGGCCCGGTCGATGTCATCCACTGTGTCGAGCGGTGGGTTGTCGTCGATGTGGCGGTCGACCACGCGTCGAAACTGGACCCAGTTGACTCGATGGTAGTCCTTCCGCTGGCACGGTGCAGGGGCCACGTTGTAGCCCAGCTCGGTCAGCACCGGTTGGTGGTCCGAACTCAGGTCGTTGACGGCAACCGGCTTGGCTAATCTGGTGTTTGCCAAGAACAGGTCCAGCGTCGATGGGTTGCCCGTCGGTGATGTGAAGGTTGGTTCGTCCGGAAACCAGACGGAATAGAGACCATGCTGGGAATGGTCGAATAGCAGGCGGCCGTTCTGGTTCTGCTG